TATAAACTAAAATTAGTCGCGTTTTCGAGGGTCTTCTTTTAAGGTTTTTTTTATTAGTTTAATATTTTTAATAAAATAAACATCAAATCTGGGTAGTAATGGAAATTGCTTGCGATGATTAAAGTTTACATACTACATTTAACAAAAATGAAAAAAAAAAAATACATTTGAAAATTTATATTTCCGTCTAGATATTTGAAACTCTCGATGGGATAGAAACATAAACTAATTTAGAATTTATTATTTAAGTAATTAGTTTATAATACGTAAATAGTACACCATAAAGTATATTTTAAATTTTAATTAATTTTCGCAAAGAAAAGAAGCTAACAATCTCACGACCACAAAAGTCACTTATCAAAGTGTAAGCAGTTTTTTTTTAGTGCATACAGGGTATGCACTAAAAAGTCTCTGTGGCGTGCACACTGTCAGTAAAGGCTGTCGCCTAAAATTAACCAGGAAACATAAGAAGGTCGAACATGTATCTTTTATATACCGCTACTCAACTAAACTAAATGCATGAACACTCAACGGTAATTTATGTTATAAATGTAAACTAGCGGTACACGGAAGATGCATTTGGCCTCCTTACATTTTCGAGCAAACTTTAGACACCAGGCCTAAGTACTTAGTATGAGATTGTTCTAGAATTAGCAAACGGGTATTAACTTGATAGTATTCGTCGGGTGTGCATTAGGTGTGAACGCAACGGCCGACGGAGAATTAATTCACACCTCTCCACGTGTCACACAATGGTGATGTGGCGCGCTAATGAGCAGCAAAGAGCCGCTTCGCACCGCATAAGCAGCAAACAGGTTCCGAAACGTTCACAACAATTAAACGATCAAACATACCGTCTAGGGCAGTATTTCCCCACGTTGGGGCCTAAGTTCCACAGTCGGGCGATTTGAATGTTATGGGGCAATTAGACAGAGTTTATTTAACCTTTTCGCTCCGGGTCACTTAAATATATTGATAGATTTCGGTGAAAAAAGCAAATTCTTTACTACTTACGATAAATAATTATTAGGTATAATTTCGCTTGATGAGACCCAAATAAAAACTGGGTGTTTGGTGTCCTCAGGTTAGCTTCCCTGAGGCAGGCGTGGGCAGTTTTTCCACTATACTTAAATTTTTGGAAGCTATCTTTACATTCCCAATTTAAATTTTCACTCAAGTCACTTTCTATTAAAATGAAAATCTGGGACAACACATAGTACCACACACATACACTGAACTCGCAGAATTGCAAAATGATGACTCAGTCAAAACTTAGCATGGCTTTCGAGGAAACAATGCAAGTTAACTATTGCTACCGTTTCAATCTTCTTTTTTAGCTGAATGTGGTTTTAGTGCTGTCAATGATTTACTGGTAAAAAAAAAATGAGCTGGATATACACAGACTTGAGACTGAAACTAACCATATTGGATCCTAATATAAAATCTCTGTGCAAAAAACATCAAGCGCAAGGATCTCACCAAATTTAAATAATAAATTAATATAGAAAAATCTTCATAAAAATTATTTGTAATTTGAATTTCAGTTTTTCATTATATATTTTGAAAATTTGCTTACTGTCTTTCGCAAGAAAGTGAACAATTAAGTTTTTGATATTAAAAATTATGTATGCTACATACGGCGGGCATAAGAATTTTAGAATGGCTAAGGTGGGTTATAGCACAAAAAAGGTTTTGAAACACTGGTCCAGTCTACACAGTTTCGTGAAGGAAAGCATTTTACACGCGCCATGATACCGCCACTACTAGGTCATGCCACCGAAATTCGTTTATCCTAACGCTCGAAACTTGTTTGTCCTTTTCTTTTTTTAATTTATGTTGTTACTACGAAATTTATTCTAAAGAGGCCATTGATGTGTGAAGCAAAAACATCGATAAACATACAAGCATAGAAACAATGTAAATTGGAAAATATGAACGTAATTATTATTATCGTAATAAATTAAAAAAAAAGAATGAATTGCTGAAGTTTAAAATAATTAAATAAAAATGCTACGTTCTATTTAAGTTTAAAATAATAACAGTATATTTTATCCCAATAAAAAAATATCACATTAAGATTAACCTAACCCGCCAGACGAAAGGCGTTAGTATAAACATGCTTCCACTTCTCACCGGTCTTCTGTGAGATCATGGTGCTCCGGAAAGGCCGGCCCATTCGTACAGCCAATAAAATTTATTAAGGGAATTAGTCATTTTAAAGCAGTTGAGAACATTCATCATCGCCACCAGAAATTAGCGTAAAGTCAGTGCTCTCAACGATAATTTATGATGACGATACAACATCGACAATCAAAGTATCAAAGTTACAACCCTATGTGATACTTTCGTTCCGACATCTTGCATATTTTGGTACAGTTTTAGATTGAAATATATATAATATTTATTATTCATTAGAGATTTTCACGAGATTTCCAGTGAGTCATGTATATACCATTATAACCGGTTATATCCGGACTAAACACAGAAACCTTTGTCTAGTCGCGTTCAACAATCTAGAAAACTGTGTAATAAACAACTTTTATAATTTATGTATATTAATACTCTACTTATATATAAATTTCTAATTTTTATTTTTTAACTACCTATAAATTTCAACATAATGAATTCTTGTATTTACGCGCTTATACATTACTAAATGAAAACTATGTTTACGGATTTATCGTGTTTATTTTTTCTTTTAATTCTCGACGTTTCGAAGAACCATTTACAGCGTTCATGGTCACGAGACAGACTCAGGCGTTGCATATGCATTTACAATAATATTCATATTATATTATTTTACGAAGAATATGTATTGCTACTTAAACAATGCCTTACATCTGGCTACTTGCTTTGGAACGAGAAGTTCTACATACAGATAGATGTTGGAACAATGGGCTGCCCAGTATCTCTTATTGTTGCTGATATATTTATGGAAGACTTTGAGGAGAAGGCCCTTCGCACAGCTCCTATTTATCCAAGATTTTATAAGAGGTATGTAGATGACACCTTCAACATTTTACCAACAAGTAAATTTAGTGCATTCTTAGACCACCTTAATACTCTTAATTCCAAAATGCAGTTCACTATGGAATTGGAGAATAATAAACGCTTTATATAGATGTTTTGGTCATCCCCAATCCAAGCAACATCTTAAGCTACACAATGTATAGGAAGGCAACTATGTTTCAGAGAAAACAAGGGATCTGTGACAAGGAACATCTGGCCGCTGGGCTTCAACATGTCAAGCAAGTTCTGCATGACTACAAGCTTCCAGCGCCGCGCCTACGTCACAGTGACCAAGTGAAACCAGCCAAAGTGGAGCGAGTACCTGCTCTTCTACCATATGTAAGAGGTGTCACCGACAAGATTGGCTATATCTTGAAGTGGACATCAATTTATACATTCTTCAAGCAAGATGCAGAAGTGTACACGCTTGACGGTGGAATGTAGCCCACATTCATGACATGAGTCAAACAAAAAGAGCTATGAAAAACCCACGTCAAGGAACATATAGCTGACTTAAAACATCACAAAGTAAATAAGTCTGCAGTATGTGAGCACACTTTAAATTGCCCCAACCATATTACATCAGTCTTGATAGGCCACAGATCCTTGCAAAAGAACACTGATTCCTCTCAAGCATGATTCGCGAGGTTATTGAAATTAAAAAACACCCAAATTTCAATATAGAAGAAGGTTTGGTGCTACCATCAGCTCGCGATCATTAATAAAATTAAAATTGGGCCCAAACGACCCACTACTGCAAGACAAGATAAAATTAGTATGTTCTGCGTAGATCGACAGAAAAATTTATAACTTAAAAACTGGCGGTGGCCCGGATTAACAATGACACTCGGACGTCCAACGCCTCAGTCTGTCCCGTGACCATGAACGCTGTAAAAGGTTCGAAACGTCATGAATTAAAACAAAAAATAAACGCGGTAATTCCGTAAACATAGTATCGTTTAGTATCAATTTAAACTCATTAAAGTACTATGTATATACTACCTAATATATACTTCGATCGAGTTGTGTTATACAGATTCTCTCGTTGGCTTCATGCTCGTCTGCAATGTCGTCATCGAATCTTCAGTACGTTTATGAGCGGGTGCGTATTCGATTTTACAACGTATGCGCGGGACGCGTGGGCGTTTGGCAAAGCGGGTCACGTGGGTCGTTTAAATCAAAATGTGTTTACAATTGCAAAAGAAATAACGATGTAGGCCTACGGAAAGGAGGCGCGGGCGTGTCGGACAAAGCTGCCGCTGTTAGAGGCATGCGAGGCGCATCCGTTTGCACGAGGCCACGGAGGGCGTACCTCCGGTTGTTTACGCCATGACTCATGGGGCCCTCGCTCTAGTGACGCCATTCCAAGAATTCTTCATTAGATTCATACAATGAGGCGCATTATCTGTTCGAGCACAAGACTGAATCGTGTAAATTTCCGCAGCGAGAAGGGCCGGCGGGCGGACGGCAAGGTCGCGCCGCGCGGTCGTCGACCCCGGAAGCGAGAGGAACGAGAGGGGTCCGCTTCGGAGGCCTGCTCGAGACAGACCCCCTCGCCTGCGGCATTCCTAGACCGCTTAGCGTGCATTCAATCTTGAACGGAGTGCATTTTGAACATTTAATTGCGTCTCAATTGCTTTTTCCACTTCTAGAGAATGAAAATGCTCTTCTAGAGAATTTTTCTACATACATATTTATTTAAATAACATCTATATTTTTTTACTTGTTTTAATTACGCTCCCTACCTACCTAACCCTAGCCTAGCTTAGCTTTCTTGTCGTCGTCGCATGCTACATGCTATAACGCTTTCGATGTGTAACTAAATCGACAAATAGGAAGGATTTTCATTCATTTCGTACATTCACGTAAGTACTTGAAATAAATAAAACAAATTTTCCCAATTACTCTTTGTGGTGAGTTTGCAATACGATTTCGGTAAGCTCTCGTATTGAACACCACAAATAGCCCGCAAATAGATCGTCGGTGCACTGATGCTTTCACCGTCCACAAAGCGAGCCGCAGTCCATGGGTCCCAGTCGATAGGGCTAGGTCGCGCCGCCGTGGAATGCGCCCTCGGCCCCTCGCAGACCGCAGCCTCTCACCGCGTCGCTCCTCATTCCTCGCCGCCTATCGCCCCACTTCATCTCGGCGGCCGATGTTTGTTTCACTGCGCGCCGCGTCGTTATATCGGTAAATAAATATCGCCACTCGAAGATTTATGCGTGCTCGTACACACCAGACCGTTGCCTGTTATCGTTTGAGCGATTTCATACTTTTCATCATGATTTCATCATATGTGTTACACAATCGCTTCGGCACGTCGGATTGTGTGTACTGTTTAAACTCGGGACAAGTATTTGTGTGGACACATTGCATACATTTGACCCGGATATGTTAGTTCAAGTGCAGTTGACGTGAGTGGAATTCCTTAAGGTGAATGGAAAGAATCCGTAAAGAAAATAATACTTTATAAACAAAAACTACAACGATGGAGCACAAAAAAGAAACAATTTTAATAAAGTACTAAAATTATTAATAGCAAATTAAGTAAAAGATATGGATATCATCCATTTTTAGTCGTTGCATGACACGATACAATAACGTCAATACAATCATCTAAACCAATTAATATAGCAAAAGCGATATTTTATGATAATCAAATGAATGCAGCCTTGTTGACTGTAAAAAGTTCGCTCGCAAGGCAAATGGATGCAGTTTATCGGCGTTTTAATATTAAAGTTGTCAGCTTTCCGTACCTTCGCACCGCCTGCCGTCTTCACATTGATCGTTTCAATTACACGAAGTGTTATGAATGACTTAATTCCGAACGTAATGGGGCGAACGGAGACATTAATTAAAACAAAACATTGCGTTTACAGAGAACGTCTTATCCAATAAACATGCGCTTACGTTGAAACACAATTGCGTGCAATAAGTATTCTGAACATTGCCGTCCAATTAACTCTGCCAACGATAAACATGTTTATCGTGTCAATACAGAATTTAATAAGATTTTATCTAATACTTCCGGCTAATCTCTGAAACGGCTGGACCGATTTTGACGGGACTTGGCAGATCGCTGTAAGAAGGAGTAACTTAGGCTACTTTTATTTTAGAAATTTTATTTATTTTGAATTACACGCGGACGAAGTCGCGGACACAGTTAGTGTGTTGATTTTATGGTGTCGATACAGATATATTCACTTTGTGAGAGCTTTTTTCCGTTAATCTAAATAGTGTATCGCTGTTCAAAGAACGTCCATCACACGTTAAATTAGGTTTAGTGGTGTTTTACCGGAAATCCGTAACTTTTCTCAACTTACGGATTTCGAATACATGTTGAGTCGCTAATACTTAACAATAATAAAAAAAATTAATTCGTTCCTGTTGCTGATGCACTGTGACTTCTGATGTTGCATGATTGGGCTGGTTGGTCCCTAGAAATGTTACAGTCATAGAAGATCATTTATCCAACCTCAGCATCATCATCGCAACTAGAAGTTGTACGCAAAAACAAAGTTATCCCGCTGTGTGTCTGGTTAGATCTTTAAAACTACGCAACAGATCTTGATGTGTTTTTTTAATAGATAGAGTGATTCAAGAGGAAGGATTATATTTATAATACATTGCCGGGGCGGGCGGCTAGTAATTTAGTAAAATAAGGTAAGAACAGGTATATTTTAGTGAACCGGTGGTACTTATTTGACGTTCAATAAGACCTTAAGAAAGTCTATATTGAATAAAGAAACTTAGACTTTGAACAACTCCACGGCTATTTTCACTGTAATTTGCCGTCACTGTCTCCGGTTACGGGGAAACCTTCAAGGCTGCTTCGCTACGTTGGCGTGCAGTGATCACGCCAGAAAAGGCAACGGTGACGCCGCCGTGTTCGTGACAGAACAGGTATTTGTGTGCGAATGACGCAGCTCGCATTTCGCGCGTTCGCACTAGGCGCGCTGTTGAACTAGCCAACCGCCGAAAAGCATCAGATTTATTGTGAAAATGACGTCGCACGACGCACCTACCTAGGGTTGTTGCTCCCGATGTTCGTCGGAAAAACACTATGAAACACATGACATTACTAGCTGTTAACCGCGACTTCGCCCGCGCGGTCAAAGAGAATTAACAATGAGTTTTTTATTATACACCAGAATAACTCGCAGATGGCTGAATTATTTCCTACTTAGTTGACACTTATCATTACCTATATTCTAGAAAATTTACACAATATCTTTATAAATTATACCCTTGTGTTATTCTTATGTCTAAGCTATATTATTGTAAAGTTTCATTAAAATGTATTCAGTAGTTTTTTTTTGTGAAAGAGTAATAAACATCCATCCATACATATAAACTTTTACGTTTATATACTTATTTTATAAAAACTATACTTTTTTTATAAAAAGAAATACATAAGCTGTTAAACGCTGTGAAAACTGAATGGCTTTAGAGGAAGGCCATTTTTAATGTGCCAGCTACCATAAGTACCACCTAAAATAACAATAAAGAGACAGCGTAGAATAGGCTTTTACTAAGCTAGGACGTTCACTATCCCAATTTAACCGCTTTCAGGTAGCTAATACTCCGTCAGTAACCAGCCGTTGAAAAAAGAGATCGAAATCTCATAAAATTCTCTCATAAATAATATACGATTACAACACCTTATCTCGTTTGCGTATGGTATAAAATCTAAGTCAAAATATAAGTATTTAACTACAGATAATATAATATAATCTCTTTTTGCTTTCTTTTCGAATGGTTTTTTTTTAGAAACTCGTAGTGGTCCCGTGTGGGAATCGAACCCACGAACCCCGAAAACTGAGTTCTAATAATGATACGTATATTTGAAAAAAAAAACACTAATTTATTAACATTGAGAACGGGTGCCGTTGCACAAGACATGTGTAACTTTTCTTAATTATTTTATTAATCTAATTTGTTGATTATAACATAATTTATCTTATCATTTACGGTAATAGGGCCACGCAGCAGTCGCAAGACTGTCCGGGCAATTACCAGGGCCTCGCAGAAGACCGACGTTAAGTGAAAGTGTTATACTTCTGCGTTTCCTGAGGTGAGGTATCCGGAGCCCATTTTATCAAAAGGTGGCAACGCATCTGTGACCCTACGGGTGCTGCAAATGTCAATGGGCGACGGTTATCACTAGACATCAGGTGACTGGTAGCTCGTTTGCCACCTTAACACATAGTAAAAAAGATCAGTCGTACGAATACAAGTGGTCACAAAATGGGCACGCAGCGTTTCAAAAGTCAAAAGTGTACAGATAAAGACAACATTAAACCTAATCTGTTAATAAACAAAGGTATAGTTTTAAGGTTATGATGACTTTAATGTAACGTAAAAAAAGATTACGTGAGACTTTACAGTTAATATATCCATTTTTCGCATAATTCTATACGGGCGCGTATATGGTTTGCAGAGAACGCCCTATCCAATAAACATATTCGAATATTAAAATATTCGCCGTAGTAAATGTGTATATATATATATGTATGCGACGCTGCCTTTCGGATATCCGGAGTGCACCGACACGGCCACGAGGGCGGCGGCAGTGTTACCAACTGTTCAAAATAAATTCCTAAAGCAGGTCAACAATCCACTAAATTCTAACGAAAAATTCCAAACGTGGTCTCATTTAGGAAGTTTGATTGTACCTCCTAAAAACTTTTCCTTCCTAAATTTAGGAAGAAAACTCCTAAGTTGGCATCCGTGGGCGGCGGACCTCGCAGACGGAGCGAGAGCCGAGAGCTCGCCCGCGCGGGCCTCACCGCGAAACAACACTTGTTGCGGAAATAGCGGCGAGGGGCGTCCGCGCATCGGGGCGCGTCACGTGCCCCGCCGACGCCCCGACGCCCAGCACCACCATGCCTTATCGCCGCTCCCACACGAGGACAATTATCTGCGTCCCTTGTGACCTTAACTGCACCCGAATAGCCGGCGACGGTCGCACGAATCGCGAGTGACACTTTAACGGTCAGCAAGCCGAATTGTTTAATTAAACGGTTTTATTTAGCTCGACCCGTACGGAATTTATTTGTTTATTTATTTGGGTCAAAATTAGAAATTGAAATTTAAGCACCTTCCCGTTGTCAGATTGATCTGAAATTTGGTACACACATTTAATTTTGATGACAATACAATATTGTAGTTTTCAGTGCACATAAAATAAAACCGTTTAACTTTAAAGTTTTTAAACGGTTTTATTTTGCGAACAAGATTAAAACGATAGACGGGCGCACCGTGTGCGAATAATGCTTTATCTACGCGTTGTAAATAATATTATCTTGATTGAGTTTCGTACGCGCGGCTCTTTTTACTGCGATCAATGTCAACACAAGTTTAGTGAAATGAACATTTCCTTATTATATGATACGATTGTCATTGCGATCGATGATGTTTAATAATATAGATGACGCATGTCCAAACTTTTTACAAAGGCGATTAAAATTTGTTCCGCTTTACCTTATATGACATACATGTGAATGTGTCAAGTGATATAGAACGTACCTATGATACGGTAAGAGATAACAGTCTACAGAATTGAAATCTAATTACACCAGTTGGTGTAATTTGAGCGTCTGAGTTTCGGTGCGCTAGTATTATATCTTCCAAATCAAATTAAAATTATTTACATTTATTTATTTATTTCATCGGCAGCATATTATATACAATATAATATTATAATAATAATGCTATAGAAATACAAAGTAACGGATATAATTTCTATTTGACGCATAGCTGTCCCTTATTAGCATATAAAATATATTTATCGCCCATGCTGTTTAATGCGTAGAGTACAGTTTGAGAATTTATGACGGAACAGCGATAAATTCAACGAAATTTGACGTAAGTACCGATCTCGAACACATATAAATTTATCCGTTCGCTACGCTTGACATTATTCAGGGCCGCGGGGAATCAAAACAAACAGACTTTTGGCCCCATCAAACAAGATAGTTGCGTAGCGTATACGGACCGCGATAAAATTAGCCGATACGCTGACATTGAACGCAAAAACAAAGTGGAGCGGGCTTCGTGCGCATGCGCTCAGGTGGTGCGTAATGTGGGGCAATTTTAGTAATCGCCTCGTCTAAATACCAGCGCGTATATGCGGGTGAGAGGGGCCCGAATGCGGGGCGGACTATAAATATTTTGTACCTGCCCGGCCAACGTTAATTGGGGCCGTCGTGGTGGTTCGAGCGGTCGACGACCGCCTGCGCGAGTTGAGAGCATCGCCAGAGGTTGATACCCGAGCAAAGGCGATTCTTCCACGTGCCATGAGACACACGCCATTCGGAAATCAACAGACCTCTATCCACTCATTAGTAAACCATGCAATTAGATGCAGTAGGCGCACACATACAGGTGCATCGCAAATCTAGAAGCGTCTCTTAAATCGCATTACGAATGGTTTCCAAATTGTAGTGACAAGATAATTATGTCGAGGACTGGTCCTCGACATAATTTGTCGAACATAATCTTGTTAACTTGTCACTACATGCGTGCGTGGTGAATTCCGTTCCCACATTAAGCTCTATGGGGCAACGGCACGAGGAATTACAGCGACAAGAAGTGCCAAAGCCAGAGAGCAAATATCGCAATTTATTCATCGTAATTGCCAGTTGGGAAGCGACCGCCGCTAGTGAAAAAACAAACACTAAAACGCCTGGTCGGCGATAACCGGTAAATTGATGGGCACTTTTTATTAACACTGTTCTTTGAATATCAGAAAGAGTACGCGATAAAGTATCTTTAACATAGTGAGTGAGTAATGTTGAGCAATTAAATGATTAGTAACATGTACCGAGAAAGGAATGGCATTCGAGTGGATCGGTTCACAGTTACTAGCGTCATCCGCCGACATTATTTAGCAGCATACGTGTATTAAAAAAACTTAACCGCAGTTCACACAAAGCAGACAGGAATATGTGCACATAATTCCTTCATTTCTAGAATTTTAATTACTTTGAAATAATTATAAAATTTAAATGTTTATAGTAGAGTACCTACGTGAATCTCTGCACTTAAAATGAAAAATTAATATTTGTAGAAAAAATTTGATGACGATTTTCGCAGCTGCGGGAATCAAACCCACGTTCTTCGGATTTCACAAAGTAATTTTATCTATCGTTAATGAGAATTTTCGTCTATCTTTATTTTTATTAAATATCTTATCAATAACTGGAGTATTGTAATTGCATAACAAATCCTAAATACGTCCACATATTGGTAACAGGCCTTCTCTGTGAAAAACTTTATAAAGCATAATTATATTTAGAGAGTTGTGTGGAAAACTCATGTTTTAATATTTTTTTTGTATGTCAAAGGTATCAATCAAAAGTTCAATAAGTTCATCGGATGTGAATGTGTGAAACACCGGTGATGTTACAAGTGCGTTGCCAACCTTTTACTACACTGGGCTCCGGTTACCTCACTTAAATAATCCGAATACTTAAAAAGAAGGTGTTAATTTTTTTCACAATTATATGGAAAAATTTAAATAATTTTTTTTTTAATTTAATTTTTTATAGTCATTTGAATGTTTTTCCTCTCGAATTATCGTAATAATAATTTAAACGTGAAAGGTTACAAAGAGCATAATTTTTCTACATTTTAGGCAGTAACTTATCTTTTCTTTCGGATAGGTACTCATTTATTTATTTATTTAAAATTATCAACTGAAGACGTATAGAACGTTATCAATAAATTATGAAGTTATTAACACAATACACAACAATTCAACATGAAACATAATATCACTAACGAAATTAACAGATAATAAAATATAATATAAACACAAGGCTATGCAATACCAGTAAGATTGTAATTTAGTAGAGAACCAAAAATTTTATAATTTATGGTTTTTATTTCCAGTGAATGTAGTATAGAAATAATTTCTTTTTTAAGGAACCCAGACTATCGCTTAAGGATACATATTACATTTATCGAAAATATTATTCTATTTTCTCTTCACAAAACATACAGCAGAGTTGATAACAAACTGTCGTGTATTGAAGTTTACACTGTACAAGAATAAAAGTGAAGTAACAGCATATACATATCTCACTGCTGGGCAAAGGCCTCCTCTTTTTTACAGAGGGTATCAGGGCATAGTCCACCACGCGGCCCCACTGCGGCTTGGTGAACTTTACATACCTTCGAAATATTTTTTTGTTATTTCGAAAATATGCAGGTTTCCTCACGATGTTTTCCTATACCGATGAGCACGTGATAAAGTCAGCACTTAGAATTAAAAATTTCATTGGTGCTGGCACTCAGGTTGGAACTCAGGTTGCTCGAGTATATTGAATTAAAGGCGAGCGCCCGGACACTGAGCTATCACGGCTCTTTTACACTAATTTGTTGATTAAAATTAAATGCTTTAATGTGTCAAAAGCTACTTCTCAATTTCGTGTCCGTAAAGATGTTCTTTTTAAAAGCAATAATCGATAACCATTTAGACCTTGCAATTTTCCTTTTACATTAATCAAAAATTAGAAATTACGATAATCCGTGCTTTCATATTTATTATTGACTACATATACAAATTAAGTTAGTCAAAATAATCAGCGCGGAATGGAAGAATATAGTATTTCTCTCAAGTCTAATTATAATCATGGAAAATACAAAAACGTTCAGAAATTTTCAGATCTATCTCGGATTTTTTTATCTACACCCGATTTGTGTCTGAACAGACAACATTTTTTTGAAATAAGTCAACAAAACAGCGCAAGCAGTCTTTTAAATTTACTACAAACCAATCGCGAGGCCGCAGCAAACGATAAACAACCCTCTGACCCAGTTCTTATTGTTTAGAAAATAAGCCGTGATAAATTTAAACGAGAACCGTTTTCGTGTCTATTCGTTCGTGGCTCATAATAATCTTAAAGTCAATAGTAAGAGACACAAATAGATTGTAGAGCAAAGTCACTATGATATCGTGTGCAGTAAATACATGCTATAATGGACTGACGTATTGATATTGTTGTCTTTAAAAAATAAATCTTATCTCGTGCGATATTGTGACTCGAACTGTTTGCAAAAGCATGTCTGATTCCAGCTACAGCTGTATTTGACTATTATCCACCGCCTTTCGTTATGTGAACACGTAAGGTTGGTCACCCTCTCCGTGACACAATCCCTTCCCTCCTCTCCTCATCCCGTGATACCAACGCAGGTCATTGCAGCACCATAGTATGGTAAGCCTCGTCTCCCGGCAGCCCTTTCGGTATATGTACCGTGTCGGTAAAAAGTGGATCGTGCCCCAGAGCGATTGATAATAACAATTGTCATAACCGTCTGTTACAGCCACGTGTAAAGTTATGGGTTGTAGATTTTTAAAGGAATTTTATGGCTGAGCAATCACGTTCGTGTTTAACGAATGTCACTTCTACACTCGTTCCTAGCCAATAACAATTATACCGACTAACAACAGTGTCTTTGAGACGCAGCTGGTTAAGACGAATGAAACGTGGGGCTTATGTTACAATATTATCCTTTTCGTTCTAGAACATTTTAACGAATATTTGTTGATATGGAGAATGAATGAAATTAATCGGGTCGCAGAGAGGCCACGGCGCGAGCCGTTATCACTCGCTATCGACACAAAAATAAATTCATTTCGAAGACAATCTTTACCATGATAGGATGGAGTGAAACCTTGAAATTGCATTTAAGCCGACATTGGAATAATAACGAGAGTCACACGAATAATAAATAATGAGCTCACGTGGTGTATATCGCTTGGCGATGAGACAGCTGCCGTGTCTATTTATTTGGAATTTGGCATGTTTTGGCCGACTTTATTTTTCAGTTGTTATTGTAGGAGCCGTGATTATTTTGCGTAGATGTTCAGAGAGCTCGGCGGAAAAACATCCAACTCATCTTATATTAATAAAACTGGCACTTTACGCTTGTATATAAAAAGGATGGGGCACAAAATATGCTCAACTCAGCAACTAATCTCATTTATAAATACCGGTATACAGTTATAAATCGACTGAACCCTACTATCTGCAATCAATAAAATTATGTAATGTTCTCTGGGAATCTGATTTAAGACAAGTAAATTGATCTAAACCACAGTTTACAATTTGAAGAGTGCGTAGAGTTTATTTATTTATTTATACTTTATGCACACAAAATATGTACAGAGGCGGACTTAATGCCATCAGCATTATTTAGCAGTCAACCTTTGAGTGGTCCTGAGAAGCTTAAGTAGGTGTATTGATTGTAAAAAAAAAGAGAGATTATTGAAAAAAAAGCCAAAACGAGTTAATCAGCGTGTCATTACCATCGCGACAATAAATGAACACACGTCTAAAGCTACTTGCCAATAATCATAAAAAAAATATTAACGTTAAACAAAAACCATAATAAAAAAAAATATTTTTCAAACAAACAATTAAGTAAAAAAGAAACAAAATTTGTAACATCCTATACAACTCGCACCACAGCGTCGTATTACAAGCCTCTCCTTCTAACAGTATGTTTTGTCTCTTTTAAATTCATTCAACCCATTCATATGCTTTGTGACCTTTACAAATGAACTTTACGTTACGCTTTTATAGGTAAGGTTGTTCTAAAATTCTTTGTTTTGGAAAATTTACTAACTGTGTAAATATTGATGTTTAAAGAATTTAAATGTTTAATACAACTTTAAAAAATTATCCCCTATATTTGTGTTCAGTTATTGTCGCGATGGTAACGACACGCTGTATAATTATAATTTTATTTTTATTAAATATTTGATAATTATTATATATTGCTTTAAATTAAGGGGCACTTCAAAGATTACGTTGAATTATTATAATAAGTTGATAAAATATATAATATTTTTTATATTATATACAGTACTATCATAAAGAAACTCAATACTTGCGTTAATGACCCAATCAATACCTGCAATGTTTATCACTTTTGTGTGTATGTTCATGTGTGTAATGCTTTTATTATTGCCACTGTTGGCCATTATGTTATATATATATATATATATATAGGTGAACGTTTGTCAGTGGAAAACTTAGCAATAACTTGGAGCACGATTCAAAGTTCACGCGCCTACGATGGCTTATCACTAACGAACGCATGCGGCGCAGTGGGCAAGCATTGAAGACTGCTCCAGATAGTGAGATGGGCGCCCAATTTCGCGCCAGTGCCCCGTCTGAGCGGCGCCTCTCCTTGTACTTAATGCCGAGCTTCATTTAGCTACCCCGAGACGAGATGATAGATGTAGCTAATCGTCTATTAGTGATTATAGATTTGAACTATGTCCGCTGTGCGAGGTGATTGATTTATTTCTAGCACTATTATTAGTAGCAGAATCGCGATAGAAACTATGCAGTGTCAAAACCTGAAATACGATGGATGACGGTGATGTCATTTCAACACGAGACGGCATGTTTTAATGTACTTTTTTTAAAATTTTTCACAGTGTAATATAAAATTTACGTACCGTAAAGTATCTCTACTTTGAAATTATTTACTTCTAATATATAAATTTCTCGTGTCACGGTGTTTGTAATTGAACTCCTCCGAAACGGCTCGACCGATTTTCGTGTGTGATGTTTCGAATTTTGTGTGCATATCGGCCAGGGTGAAGAATCGGACAACATCTATTTTTCATCCCCCTAAATGTTACTCCACCCCAAACGTTTTTTCTACCCTACAAATAATTTATATGGCAAAACAAAGTTTGCCGGGTCAGCTAGTATTTGTATAATCACAGTGAAAAGAAACTTCGAAAACACAATAATTTTCAACAATGACTTGCATAATTTTGAACGTTTGTTTGGAATTAATAAAAAGACAATAACTGATCAGAATGAGAGTCAATGGGCATGTCATAAAGTTTCAGCAAACCACAAGAATTAAGCTTAAATAAAATATTAAATATTTAAAAACCAAATTTAGATCTTTTTAAATTTTCTGTTTCATAAGAAATTAAAACTATTACATGAAATGTTATAAATAGCCCTGATAAGCATTCCACACATTCAATATTCATAAATTGTAAAAAAAAAAAACCAAAAATGTTCTTTATTCTTCCATGAAACAGAATAGAAGAAAATTTAAATTACATTTATTTTTTTTCATTAAGGAATTTCTAAAATCGTTATCGACCCCGTGAACTACTGTGAAAATTTCATAGAGTCAGTGGATACTCGTAAAAAAATCAGTATCGCAACAATATTCCGTGTAATCAAAAAGCCTAAGGCCGTAAAAAGGCATGAACAAACTAAAATAATGACTAATAACTTCTTTCAAACATCTTGAGTTATAGGACAAAGTCGTAAATTTTTTTTCTCACTAGCGTGTAGCTTGAAAATTTATTTCAGAGAACCCAGCGAACGACGAGTGAGGAATCATGTTAGGTTTCATTTATCGTGGATTACTCGTTAAACGCCTACAAGTTTCCGCTTTTATAATACTTTCGGCCAACCACATTCTTATAGGTGAAAGTGTGACAGACAACACGGATGTTAATTTATAAACCTGAAAAAAATATCAAGGAGAAAAAACAGTCATGGAAGTGACGTGTATCATAGAAATTGAATAATTTATTTAATAGATGGTAGTTTCATGCAGCAAGTATCGTATCATATCATACCACATCAAAATATATTATACTCCTATTACTAAGGAAAAGCTCAGACCTTTCGTAAGACAACCATACTCTTTGCTGCTACTTGGCAGTTATAATCAAAATTATAATTTCATAAGACCTCAGCATACAGCAATTGAAGAGAGAATCAAATCGAATCATCGGATTCCGAGAGTTGATGTGAATGGCAAGAGATCTCCCCGGGCCCTGGTACGTATGGGTCCCACAGGGATCTATTCTTGTGCCTTTTCTCTTCCTCATCTATATAAATGATCTTCCTATCTCGTTGATCATGGTCATGACACAGTATTGTTTGCTGATGATACTTCTTTAGTTTTTAAAGAAAAGCGATATTACTTAAATTATGACGATGTAAAAAAATACCCTATCCACTATAGTACATTGGTTTAGTACTAACAATTTACTATTGAACAATAAAAAAAAACAAATGTATAAAATTTTCCACTCCACATGTGTAACATGTAAAAACTGATGTACTATTACATGGGGAAGCACTTGACCCTGTTGACTCGACTGTATTCCTTGGCACAACCATAGATGCCAAACTGCAGTGGGGCCCCCATATTAATAAGCTGGAGAGTAGACGTTGCTCAGCAACCTTTAAAAAAATTAGACGGCTGACTGATGTAGATACGGCTCATTTAGTATATTTTAGTTATTTCCACAGTTTAATGTCTAATGGCATTCTACTTTGGGGTAACGCCGCCGATATTAATACTATCTTTGTCCTCCAAAAGAGAGCTATTCGAGCAGTTTATAGCCTGGGCCCCAAAGAATCACTAAGAAATTTGTTCAAAGAGATTAAAATATTGACTGTTGCTTCTCAGTACATACTTGAAAATGTTATGTATGTCCATAAGAACAAAAATGAATTCTCAAGACATGCGAATGTGCATGATATAAATACTAGGAACAAACAAAAATTAATTTACGGTGGTAGGGCCACGCGGCAGCCTCGGCTGTTACACGAATGGGCAGGCCCATCCCGGTAAGTACCACGACCTCACAGAAGACCAGTGTAAATTGGAAGTATGACAAATACTTTCGCGTTTCGTCTGGTGAGTGTGGTAGCTGGAGCCCAATTTTCAGAAGATTGTCAACGCATCTGTAACGCATCCCTCGCGTGTAGCAGATGTCCATGGGCGGCGGTATTCACTTACCATCAGATGAACCGTCTGCTCGTTTGGCAACATTTCATATAAAAAAAAATATTTAACCACAAGTAGACTTCGTAGAATAACTAATTCTTATATGGGACAATGTATACGTTTTTACAACAAAACCCCAGAAAACGTTCACAAAGTATCAATTTCTAAATTCAAAAAAATTGTAAAGGCATGTTTGTGTGTTAAAGGCTATTATAATGTTAGTGATTATCTAAATGATAACACACCCTAGAAATAAAGTGATCGCTCCAGGCTCTTTCAAGTTGACTTCAATACATTTGTAAACATGTCTTTTTTAATAATTTTGTCGGCATTACAACTCACAAAATTTTCGTTTTGCCATTTAGAGTGCGATAAAGTACAATGCAAGATACATTACTCCTTGGAAACAACTCGAAAAGACCAATCACAAATTAATTCCTTTATATTAACAGGCTTTAAATTTCAGGCAAACTGGCAAAGGCTGTGAAAAAGGGTATCAGGGCATAGTCCGACACGCGACCCCACTGCGGATTACTGGACTTCTCATATTTACGAAACATTTTTTTTATTATTTCGAAAATATATAGGTTTCCTCGCGATATTTTCCTTCACCGCTGAGCACCTGATAAGTCAGCATTTAAAATTAACAATTTCAAAAGTGCCAACACCGGGGACCGAAATCAGATTTCTAGAGTAAATTGAATTAAAAGCGAGCGCCCGGACATTGACCTATCAGAATAGTATAATAAATAAATAATTTCTTTATGCAACCGCTAATTTCATTGCATATATTGCACGCTAGAACCTCGCAGATGCATGCTGAGGTTAGTGAGTTAATGTACCAGTCATACTGTTCACAACGAAATTGTACATAAGAAAAAACAATTTCAGAAATTCAACGAATGCGGAAGGAATGCGGTCAATTGGCCGCTGTACCTCGCCGAAAGCAGCCAATGCAGCGGCCGAAGGAGATAACGGCTGATAACTATTCACCGCTCACGTCATTCTGCAAACACGTAAACAACTACTTACGGCCACCGCTCACTCGAGTGTTTTGTTTGTTTCTTTAAATTGATTTATTATTTCCATAACGTATTAGTGTTGTTGAAAATAAATAGCAAACACCTGAATGGAATGGAATATTTTTGATGCTAAACGAGAAGAAAATGGTACAATGAAATTAAATAGACATATTCAGATCGATTTGTTTCAAGACCACACAGTATATTGTTATTAAACATACATACAGACTTATGACAAATTTTTATTTAAAGGATCGTGCAATCGTTACGGTGAACGCGTCGGAAATACTGCTGGACACACTGTAGTTGGTTAGATATCCATATGAAACAAAAATTTGTTTGTTCCACTTCCTTTTCTTGTTCATATTTCGCTGTGATAGAGCCCACAAAGCAGTCTGCTATTATGGGTAGGCTCGATCTGAGAAGTGCCATGACCTCACAGAAGCCCGGCGTCAAGTGGAACTGGTATAATACTGCATTTCATCTGGTGGGGTAACTAGGGCACACTAAAAGGTGGCAACGCTCCTGAAAGTGTATCCATTGATATTTTTTGTATTCCATGGGTATCACTTCACATTCGCTTACCACTTTGTAACATAAATAAAGCATTGATCCGAGCCTGTGTGTATGTATTTGTGATGTGTATTTTGTGAAAGTCCAACTCAGGAGCTTTTTTTTATAAAATAAATAATATCGCTTACAGCAAAGAACAGTGACAAAGAAACGTCGAGAAAACTGTTCCCGCCCGTTGAGATGCATAATGCCACAGGCGCTCCCATCAATCCAATGCAAATGTTGCCCTCGCGGGCTGGGTTTAGCATAAAGACACGACAAAGGCTGGCGCGCCTCAGGTGAGCTGGTGCGCGGCGCGTGCGGTAGGTCAGGCACGGATAGTAACGATAGCCGATATGCTTATGCATTATTCGACGACACGTTGCGCGGCGACGTCATTTCTCCCTCAGTTGCATTTGTAAGGGTTGCTACAAACGTAAGCGGGCCGACATTAATTGAATCAAGACCGCTCGGCAGCCACACATTATCACCCGGGCCCGCATAAATCGGTAAAGCCGGGAGGTAAAATAAAATATATGTAGATGATGTTCGTGAATCACAAACAACCACCGCAATACTGCCGAATCGAATATTGTATCGACCCGAATGTACAACTCGATCGCAAAAAGAGCCGATTGAAGTCGAACAAGTGCAATTATTGCTTCGGGTCATCATTGTTGTTCGCCAAGTACTGCCGAACTGACAATTTGTTGCCCGCTTATGTGTGTAGCAACCCTAAGCGACACAGTTGCCGCCGCTAAACATGCACAAACAACATACCTAGGTAGACTAGACATACTGCTTGTATTCAGACATATTACAGAGGGTGGTATTGCTATCGGAAATTATAGGCGGTCAGTGACTATACTTCTACGGTGTACTAAACTAACTAACCCGTGAAAATTCAGGTTTTGGCATAAAAGAAAATGGGCATGAAGGAAGCACGTATAGAACTCCTCTATTGCGTAGATTTTTAATATCACGTATTATTAACATGACACAAAAATGTTATATCTGAACATTGTGATCAGGAATCCAAATAAAACCATTTTGCATTCCGTTACTATTTTTATTCTGAAGAACGAAGAATGTTGAGAGCAGCATGAAGCAATTACGGAATCAGTGACTGCTTAAAGTATGTAGAATGCAATTATCAGACAAAATTAGTTCTGGTTATTTTTGTTGCATAAATTCATTTGCAAACGCCCGCAAGGTTAAACTTTAAATTATCTAATTGTAATTGCAATTGGCATGGCGACAATTGAGTGTGCATTGAGCTACAGAACAACGAATAAATTATTGGACTAAAGCGCGTTAAAGTGTCTATAATGTTTACAAATTCGCTCTGTACATTAAATAGTTTAGACAAAAATACTACGAATTTTTACACCAATAATCGGATATAAGATTGTATGTTCGAGCTGTAATAAAAAATAGACACCTTCATCGTAACTGTTTATTCCTGAAATATACTTACTACTTAGTAAATACGTTTACTACTCAAACCATACCAACTTGCCAAATGAAACGATATTGTAGCACGGGCCGGTTTCTTTAAAAGAAATTACACTATTTTTATATTTTTAAGGCAGCTCAAGGGAGGTGCCGCCCGTGCTGTCCGGTGCAATGCATTCCGTGAAGAGAGGGGCGGGCGGGGAGGGGTGCACGGGGCGCTATCTATCTCGCGGAGAGCAGATTAGATAGCGGGGCGGCGTGGCGGCGCGGCCGGCCGCAGGTTACATGCTTGTTTATATCCGGCGCGATCGCTTATCGTCGCCGCTGCAGCGCCGGCACCGCGTGCGGTAGGTCACGGCCTCCGCTCTCTCGGCGCGCACTTCCGCCGCGAACACGATCTCGCGCCTCCGAGTCCGTTCTGCGGCCGATAAATAAGCAAGTGCACCCAGCGACAGGTAGCCGCCGAACCGACAACCTCTTATTTTTTTTTTATACGATAAAGTGGCAAACGAGCTGGGGGTTCACCTGATGTTAAATGATAACCACCACCCATGTACTTTTGCAACACCCATAAGGTTGCAAATGCGTTGCCACCTTTAATTAAAGTGGGCCCCGGCTACCTCACTCACCAGATGAAACGCAGAAGTGTAACACTTCTTGACGCCCGTCTTCTGTGAGGTCGTGGTACTAACCCGGACGGACCTGCCCATTCGTGCAACAGTGAACACTGTTGCGTGGCCCTACCACCCATAAACACGTCACACAGAGGACGGCAATAAGTGACCACACGAAAAAATTCCAACGTGATTTTCCACCATATAATAACTTATTGCGCGACATTGTATTATCGCGGTTGCGTTCGTCCGTGAATGAGTAGTACAATCGGATGTACGTATGTCATTTTTAATTTGCTATTCTAATTTTACGAGCTGTTCATCTTTCCGAGTTGCAAGGGTTCAGGCATAATGCCGAGGTTATCGCTTATCGGTTAACATGATATAGTTAATAGAAAGACATAATTATCCATGCATAGGTACATGTAATCATAACAGTTTAAATTGAATAATTAACATGCTAACGAGCATTCACTTAGTTATTGACGTTATCGTTTGTGAACGTAAAGGTTAGAGGGCATTTAGAAACGCGTGCCATATTTTATCTGGGACATCTCTAGGGTTGACTGTATGTCAACCCTAGAGATGTCCCGATTCTACAAAACTTGCAACCGTGATATGAATACATACAAATAGTGACAGCATTGCAAACTTGCTTGTAGAAAATAACACACACTCAATTCGTATAATTTACAATTCGATTCAGCCTACCTGTTCAATCGTGTCTTCTGGAAATTTTAGCTCTAATGATGAAATAATCTTTTTTAATACAATTATGAACACTATAATACGCGAACATAAAGTGAAACATTAAAGAAAGGAAACACTTCGCAAGGTTGAAAGAAAAGATGTCAAGGTCTATATTGATTTTAATACTTGATACTTAAATAGTGAATGACATAAATAAGCATATCGTTTCATTGTTATAAGAGCTGTTTCCACACAGTTTAATTAAAATTGTTAAGCCATAAAACAATATAAGAAGTATTTATTCATTTACCTTAATTGTATAATAGAGGCCTCGCGTTACATCATCGAAAAAAAAAACTATCAGTGAAACATCCGCCGAGTCTTCTCCGTCGATCAAAAACAAAACAAACGCGCTATCTCGGCGCCATCGATTTCATCCGACATTCGTTTTCAAGGACGCGCTATCGATTATCGCCTCTTGGAAATTGGGAAATATTGATTGATTTCTTGTCTTCGACGTTTATCAACAATCGACATACGCACAAGCGATAGAAACGGACACATTCGGACGGCGGGACGGTGCTTAACTAATAACGGCGCCCGGCGTCATCGCTCTAGCGGGACTTTATCAAACTGACCGAATTACTCTCTATTAATAGGAGCAACGAAAGTTGCGTGCATAATTTTGGCAGATGCCGCAATCAGCTGTTGGCTGCCTTTCAGCTTCTTTGGTTCGGATTCTTTAAAGAGAACTGGATCCGATTGTGAATCGAATAACAATGAACTGTGCGAATGTTTGTGAATAACAGAAACTTTGTGAACGGTCGGAACGGAACGAAGCGGGCGTTGTTTGCGAAATTATATGGTTTCAAATTGTAATTGTTTGAAATAGACCAAAACTTGGAAATTCAGCTCAAAAAATCAATACAATTATAGTATATGCAATACTTCAATAAATCTGGCCATCGTGAAACATTCGTGTATTAAAAATCGATATCGTTTGCCTAAAACGATTGGCAGCTGCATACGTCTCGATTCTTGTAGACGTAATTAGAAAACGTGCAATTTACAGAATCTACATGTATTTGAAGCTTCGTTCACATCAAAGCAGTCGACCGCATCAAACGATCACTTCAGCTAACTTATGAGGAAATATCGATAAAACAGTGTCGCTCGGCTTTGAAGAAACTCTCTTAAGAAAAAAAATGGATATAAATTGTTACGGATTATGCCTTTTCGTTTTAATTTGCTAGCGTATTGATTTTTACATGTTTGTAGATTGGAATCAAATGAATAGTTTTACTGCTGATAGTTTAATAACCACAGTGGCTAGATGAGTGGCAGAGTGACTGGATGAGGCGAACACTTCAATCAACGCAGTCAGTAAAAACTGACTGCTCACTGAAAGGATTAAACAAACTTCGAGAATTTTAACCAAACACTATACAATTCGTCGAAATATTTATATAGGTATAATAATGTTTTATACCTATATATTAATTTTCGCGTAAATACAATAATTTTGAAGATGTTCAGAAGAGGAGTAAATATTTAAGTTTGTAATATACGATACTTTTGTTTAAAGCTTAAATCATACCGCATTTGATCAAACTTTACAACGTTTATTAAATAAAATAACTGGTGACGGCCGACGTTGTCATTGTGGAGAACACATTTACGAATATATTATGAATTAAAACAATTTGTATCAACGAAGTGCAGAAACAGATGGCTGCTTTACACGAGGCAAACAAACCTTTTAGTTTTAACTATGTTTTTATTACCTCAGAGTTATTACATCTCCTCATATATCTTTTGACATAACAAAACAGCAGTTGTTATCTAGAGTGTACTAAACAAAGTTGTGTTGTAAAAATGTTAAATAGACACCTTCTCTAACTTGTCTATATTCTATATATTTATAACACAACTTTGCCGTATTTATACGTATGTATTAACCGTACGGATTTATTTTAAGCTTTAAAGAATAGTACATTATATTATTGTTTCATGTTTTGGGTGTAAATTTTGCATTCTTAATTCATATTTAACTTACACGCTGTTAACATCGATTACAAAAACATCGATAACATCGAAAAGATTTAATTGTTTTCGGAAAATATAGCAAATAGTGCTAATCATCGTACGATTGCGTAGAACAAGATAAAATCCGATTTTGGACGTAAAACTGCGAGTTAGACTAGCACAGTAGTTTTTCACTGCGAAACAGGATCACTGAAATTGGAAGTGTCGCTCATCTTTTGTCTCGGGCGCAATACTCGTTTGTGTCTGTGTGCTGTAAGTACACACTTTTAACGGTTTACATTTAAAATCCGATCCGCTTCGTGTTGTTTGATTAAAATAATAATTTATAAGGGACAAAACGGGGGACGGAAGGCCGAAAGGAGCGTTGGAATCACCCCTGGCGCACGGCGGTCGTGTACCGGCCAGCAACGGTGCTAAGCCATATGTCGGGGTCGACGACCGGGGACAGCCCCATCCACGAACCCCTGTATCGGCTCGCCATGAATTTAAATCTTTTCCCGATGCAAAACTATCTATGCACATTGCTTCAAATTTCGGTGCCGCGTAGCCCCCATTATAAAATACTGCAACGAAGGACCGTGGGTGTGTAAGATAAGTGACATAACTTTTGATTTGATTTTGATTTAATAACTTTAATTACCAGGTTTTTGAGGACAATTATCTATAATTATTGAAACTATTAATTAATAAAAGATTCTAATTTGTATCAAAGCTATATCAGCTTCAACGTATTTTGTAATTTACACCTAATACATAAAATATTAAAGTTTTTAGCGCATACAGATTCAAAATATTGCTTAGCCATTTATGTTTAAAATTTAAAATGTATAGTGTTTATATATATTGACACAAATTAATGTCGATTTATAAAAAATAACAATAATTATCTAATTCTTTATTTAAAGTGGGATGGAACAAAAAGTTTCATTTATAGTTCAGATTAATGTCAGGCCGTGGTACTTACTACCTAGACAAGAGTGAAGCAGAAGCAAGTAGAATCCGTGGTGTTCGAAAATAATTCTGTTTTGTCTGGAACGAGCTTTGAAAATTATTGTAACCAAGGTTTCGTGATAATCAGAATGGCCTTATTAGAAAATCAACAAAATTATTCAATTTGTACGACCCACGGACAAATAACTATTTACCACGTCAATCAAGTTCCACATTTTTGCATTGGAATCGAGTTTTTGTACTGTAGTTTCACACAAATAAAGGTGTTATGATGGTTTTTTTAAGTTTATTAGGTCGACTTAACTGAATGCAATCTAACATTAGAAAATAAATAACAGATAAAGGTGATTGATTGAATTCTATACATAGTAAACACAGCATATCTACTACATACTAAAACATAATACAATATTAGGTATTATTTTTCATTAAATGCTAATCAGTAAAACTATAATTAAAACTTTAAGTTACAAGTAGACATCGGATTATGTGTAGTCCTGTATTTTCGGGCTCATAGAATAGGGCTAAGGTATCCCCTCCCTGTCGTAAAAGGCGACTAAAAGGGGACACGGATTGGCAGCAGCTCGAAGTGGCCTCGAGCTGCTGCAAGATGGCGAATGAATCGGGGAAGGTCTATCCTTGTCCGAGGCGTGCTCACGAGCAGTGGCGAGGGACACCAGTGCGTTCAATAGATCCCGTACGTAGTCCCTCCAAACGTATAGAAGCTGCCCACCGAGGGGGTTTTAGTGGGTAAGAACCCCACATAACCCTGTCATGTAAGGTCATCTTTTGAAGATTACCCCCCGATACAAAAAAAGAATACATCGGATTATATGCATTCGCATGTTTGCATATGCAAATGCATAAAACTCTTATTTTTACAGCGTAATTGGATATTTTAGTGCATTTTTATTAATAGTGCTTATTTCAGAAGTTAAATATATTCTAGTTTTTTTTGAGCATCCCGCTCATTGTTTGATGCTATAGCATCAGATCAAGGTTAGATTTGGAAATCCATTGAATTTCAAATCAATCAGATCTGTGAAAGTCAGTAAGACCCTTATTGTTAAATAAGAAATTAACTGACGATTACTCAAACGCCTAAACAGTTCTTCATAAATTATAGCTAAGAAACATCTCGATCGTGTCACCTTTCAAACAAATAAAAACCGTATCATAATTGGTCCATTCGTTTGGAAGTACAGACAGGCAGACATGTCAACCTTATAACACACGTTTTTATGTCAGTGGTTAAAAATAAGACTGATTCTTTGTCCCCATACTAGTTTAGGTTACTATTAGTTGGGAAAACAAATGTACGACAAACTGGAAAGAATTAAAATAGTATGCGATCTGTATGCGATCCCATCCGGTCGATAATTAAAATTGAAATTAAAATACGTGTTTTTGTTTGTTTCTTTTTCCTTTTTTCTTTAAAAGGGTAGAATCAGGAGAAGAATCAGAGTGTGAGCCCCTCTTAACGAAATCAAAGCAAGTATTATTTAGACAAATTAAAAAATATAAAAAACAATTTAATATTACACTACGGGTACTAGGCTATTGGTATTAAATAGGTAGGTAATTTGTTATTTTGAAAAAATTGGAGAATCGCCAAATTTTTTGAAAATTAGTTTTTATATTAGTCATTGTGTCGTTTTCAATGAATTTTCAAATTAACTCATAAAATTAAGAAAATAGTTGTTTTCCTAAAAAATCAGCCTCAGAATTTTTTTTTATTGAGAACGTAATTTCTTAAACAACAGGGCAACAGAAAAATTAAAACCAGCCCGTCTTCTTTGAAGTCAAATGAATCTAAATGAGCAAATTGGTAGATACCACTATTGTATTGAATGACTATTGATGATAGGCAACTTTTATACAGAGGCTTTATTTGGAAAATCGTTAAAACTTTATTCAATACTAGACCGTTGACTATAAGATACATAAAATAACGCCGTCTAAATCAGAAGTACATTGTTTTGTAGCATTTTTTGTTTTAACAGACTGAAGAGAAAAACGTCTCCTTAGAAACTGTTTCCACAAAAATATTTAGATGAATCATCGAATAGTTATATAACATTACCATGCAGTGCGAATTTCAGATTTCTAATCGAAGCAACGAGAACACACGGCAACGTAGAGCGTATTTAAAGAAAACGACTTGTTTTGCTCATAGTGATTTCAATTGAAGAGATTACATTCCACGAATAAAGCTTAAAACTAAACAGCGGTGAAACGTATAATAATGGAAGAGTGTCAATAATTTATCTATTTTTAGAGGCCTCGCGAAAGAGTTTTATTTTTATCACACCGTAACATTACAGAGTTTGTATTGAAGTAGGTTTTTGAAAAAACAAACAGAATATATTGTATTGTCTTCTGGAAGTTATATTTAGAACGCAGTGGCGGCGGGACATTACCGCGTTGAACTTAAAAACTATGAACTTATAAACACGTTACTCCTCTAAATATCTCGCAGGCGATTTAAAATCTAAAAATTGTAATCGAAACTATTAATAATTTTTGAATATTTTTTTTTGGCCGGACGTAAATTTTAGAGAATGTTGTAACCCATGATAAAAACATTTTGATTTGCGCAGCATTTCGTGCGCTGTATCACGCCAGACTTGTTCAGTTTTCACAAACTGAGAAACGGTAGGCGTGTCATATCTGAAAATAAATGCACTTTGCAAATGATATTCGTATTTGCCGATTTTACGTTATCCATTTATTTCATTGGCGTTTCGTAGACATCCGTTTTGTGTGAATCAAATCAACGATAATAGGTATACAAAATATTTTCACACAAGTGTGAGAAAGCGAAATGAATGAAACATGTGTGATCTTTCTCGCTGTTTATTTCATTCCTTTGATTTACGTTTTGCCGTTATGATTTACGAAACCAATACCATTTCGCGTGCATTGCAATCAAAGTAAATTCGTCGACGTTAGTCATGCCGTCTCAAGAAATTAAATAAAAAGAAACAAATATTAGTACGAACAAAGCGCATTTGCCTTACATTTGAAATATAAATAGCGGACGACGGTATAATTAACATGCGTAGTAATTCACATCCAAACCGTTCACCTCGGTGCGTTAGAACACATTGAAACATGACGCATTTTGTCATGTCATGTTTACGTGCCTAGCTACGTTGTAAGTATAGAATCGCGTAGTAGTATTTGCACGTTACGTTACTCGGAATGGCATTCTTCACGCAGGGACATGAGATATGTTTCAATTTCAATGCAAACTATCGGCTATAATCGCCATCGCGACATGTCGCGCTCGGCCTTTAACACCAGGTCAACACGTGTAAAAAATATAGGTGACGTCCTACCTACGTAGTTCAGAGCGTACCAATAGTATCAGTCGAGAGATAACAAAAAATTCGAGGTAAATTCCAGATATCACGGCACAGTATAATATGGGTATAACACATTCGATGTTTCGGTGCGGATGAAGGTAAACTTGGGATTTTGTAGACATAAACTAAACACAATTCATAGATAATGCGGATATTTATTCATTGTTATACAAAGCCCCCAAAATATAAGCATCTCCAAATAAATTAAAAATGCTACAGTTATTTTAAATCTTATGCAATAGGATTTTGTCCAATAAATATTTGGCACGGAGATCATAACTGGACCGTGTTCCCACTTTCCGGATTTGTCGTTCGTCTTATTGTCTTATATAAAAAGAATAAATGATTACGACGAAAGACCGCGATAACAGCGTTCCAACAGATTAGGTAAACACGTCGTATCGTCAAAACAAGTTTTTACGCGCAGTATCTGAAAAACATTGGGCTACGGCGAATTGTTGTTGGACGTGTTCAAACTATAGCCTCAACTAGTCATGTCTCGCATCGAACCATCGCGGCGGGCCGAACGAACACTATCCATCGATCTTAATTTCACCGGACAGATTCCGTAACGGATTACCGCTATCGGTGACGCGACGTAGGGCCGTCGGACGTTAGAAAAACAAAAACGCTCGTCGAGATTAGCACATCGGTATCCGTGCGTGACGCGTTGCAAATGATAGCTAGCGAATGTGCGCCGCCGTCGGCTGTCTACGGCGTGGAGCCGAGTTCGGTATCGGCGGCACTTATTACACGGTCGAATGAATTTCGGCTCCGTTCGCAAGATAACGCGGGGCGCCTCCTAAACGAGGCCTCATGCCTCGCCGGCTTTGAGCGGTGGAGAATCGCAAACAAACAACGCACCGGGCGCGTTCGGATTCGTTATTTGCTAGATACGCGGCGGGGCGCTCGAACGCACGCACGAATGGTGTACGAATAAATAGGAAAAAATATATATTCGCGAGCCCATGAGTGGCCCCACGGCGGCCCGAGAGCAACGGCCGCGCTGCTTTTTGCCAATATCCGGCGCGCTAACGGACTACGGAGTTGTTTATGTGACTATACACTCGTCATCGTCGCATCTGGCGTGCCCACTGCGAAAAGAAACTTAATTGACTAGCTAGTCTCTCACACCATATTTTTAAAATCTTAATCTTGTAAAGCATCAAATGTTTCGAGTAGTCTGATTAATATCTATAATTGTTCATTTTTGTTCTTCGCTCGCAATTAGACTTTGCTCCCATAAAAATATTTGTTAATAACATAATTGCATTACGCATATTCACGCAATAGCAGATTTTTTTATGAATAAGCTGGAAAACTAGCACTTTAATCTGATGATAGACGAAAAAGCTCTGCTTAGGTCCCCGAGTCGAACATCAGAAAATAATGCTGACGAATACTGATTCCACGATCTGGGATCATGCGTTAAAACATATTGAGAAAATCTCAGTGGTTAATATATTTTTTTTTATGTGTTGCATTAATCTTTAAAACTTTTCACTTAGCCGTATACATTTCTGTTCGGTATTACATCGTGCAACATGTAGGAAAACCGTCATTTTCTTGCAAAACATTAATACCTACATCTTTACGTGTTTATTTTTCTTTAAATTGCCGTTTCCATGAAAAAGGGTATTTGCATCGAGGCAAAGGTTTGTTGTAGAAAGTTCCGTTTTATTTGGTTTTGTGAGCAAAAGAAAGCAATGATGCATTATCTTTATTTTTCCTGCCTAACATTAGCAATAGAGTATTGACTCAACAAATATTTTAATATAATATGTAAAGCTGCAAGGAATGTTAAAATAATTAGTTTTCTAATTCGCATATCCCTCAGTTAACTTTCATTAGAAATCAAGAGATGTATGCAAAATATTTAAACGTAGGTACTTCCAATTAAAATTAGAATTACTTAGGTTTAATTAAATCTTGCGCGAAACCTGCGAACTCTCGCTTAAATTTACGAGCCCGTTCTGTTTTATGCGATAGAACTCATTATAATAAAAAGTAATTGTATACAATTTACAATGTTGGTAAGATACGACATCGTAAGAATATTGCAAAATGTTGCAAAATGTTTAAGCACCTTTCCATAAGCACCGGCCCATAAACTTGTCCATGTTAAGAGGTATTCTATATTTTACACGTACACAACATTGAACTATATACGTTCTAGGTGTTATTTCAAATTAAGGTACAACTTAGAGTGGATGAGATTGAGATCCGCACAAAAATTGATTTATTCGAAAGCAAAAAAATATTTACATTTGTTAAGGAGCGATAATACTTCGTCGAGGCGCATTATAACAACAATTACTCGACCTTTGGAAACTTTAGTAATACGATAAATTCGATCGATCACCGTGCTACTGTTAAGATTATATATCACGTTTTTAATTACCAATATTCATATATCATTAAAAAGATATACTCTATTATATATCTATTTTTTTGTATTCTTTCTTCCTTTCTTACTTTTCTCTTTCCGAACTTATATTTGCCACACTGTAAATATCGGATGTCGAGTAATTAACGAGGAGTTAAAGCGTCAACGTTAGTCGGGCGTGCTTAAAATAGTACTTGAGTGGCCCGTGACTGTGAGGTGGGGGGTGAGGAGGCGGGGGATGCCAATAGAGTGGGCGAAAGGTGACAGAAATGTACGGGTTGCCGACAGATGTGGCAGAAGCTCCGGTCTTCCGAAAACGAATGGCAACACTTATCTGCTGGGACGTGACTTCGCCCCTCTCTTTCTATCCGCCGGCGAGAAGATCCATTGGCGAAACGTTAAATGTCTTATGCTAAAGCTTTACATCAACCTGCCTCTCATGTCTCATGATAATAAGATGATGATGATGGTCTCTATTCAAATTTTAGTATTTTTATTGTAGTATGAAATTATAATATTTAGTATGAAACCAAGTTCAGTCTAAAAGGCAAATTATATTTAAACGATTTTCAGTAATCAGTTTAAAACGGTACCAATAACGTGGCATTGAATATCTCTGAGCCAACACTCTAAAGTATTGCCACACAGCGGTTTCAGATCGAATCCATTGCAAAAAGAATTTTTAAAATCGGTTATTAGGCAATAAACACAAACACCAAATTGAGATTCTCCAACATATTTTGAAGTCGTTGAAAATAAAAACTGGCCAAGTACGAGCCGGACTCGCGCACAATCTGTACCATCCGTACCATCTATGAAAACGGCAAAACGATCATGTCTGTGTGCCGATGTGTTAATGCGACTTCATACCGCTCCTTTTTTTGAAGTCGGTTGTAAGGTAAAGAACGGCTGGCGCAGTGTTAGAGTGACTACACTACGACTTTGCACGAGACATACCTCCCGGCGCCAGTTGCTCCACGGCGTGTGAGCGGGCGCAGGCGAGTAGCAGCGCGCACACCACCGCCGGCCAGGCGCGCCACCCGCGCGCCCGCATCACGCCACCGCAACGCCCGCGCGAGCCCCACGCATCTCCCGAGCTGCAACCAAACGCCACGCGTTAAGGCACACCGCACAAGGCAAGGCAACCCAGCAGCCTGCCGTTGCACGAATGGGCGGGCAGGCGCGTCCGGGGAAGTACGACCACCTCACAGAACACTGGTGTAATGTGGAGGTGTCGTCTCGTGGGTGAAGTAACCGGGGCCCACTTTATTGAACGGTGGCAACGTATCTGCAACTCCTCAGGTGTTGCAGATATCCATAGGCGGCGGTTACCACTGAATGGGAACTAACAGCTTTCTTGCTACCTTATAACATTAAAAAAAATTACAGCCCTTACAGCCTCAACATGACAGCATACCGTTAGAAAAAACCGGACTCGGGCTTCCTAAGCATAATTTTCTTACAGGTCTCTATTACTGGCATATAAAATAACGGCTCAATATGTGACCGGCCCGCCTGAGATCAACCCTTCTTAGAAACAAATAGCATTATCGTAACGCAAATAGGTCCCGTGTGGCAATCTAACTCTAATACTCCCGGCAAAAGACTAGAAACTGTTGAAAACTTCACCTTAAATGGTAAGTATCGAATTATGTAAAAAAACGTAAATAACTGACGCTAAGTTGTACCCGAATATGTATGTGTAATAAAAAGCCATGAGTTGGGTCTTGATGTGTATGTGCATGTAAATTCGAAAGACAGTCGTCGCAACGTAAAATCACGAACGTTTAGCTATCAAAGTGCCTTCGACATGCAGATCGCTTCACACGGTCCAATTTAGATGCCAAATGCAGATGCACCAACCCGTTAACGGAAATATCTGTAGACTTTGTTGCCTGGGAAATTCAATTTATTCAACTAAAACTATCACTAGTATAATCAAACCGAGACAAAACCGCATATTCGCGTTATAATAAACATATGGAGTGTATAAAACGCACATGAATATTGTAAAACTTAAATTAACATAATTTGTAATGAACACATCTGAAGTTTAGTATGAAAAAATACAGCTTAAATTTTTAAATTAATTTCTTATAAAATGAAAAAATAGTAGTTGCAAAAAACGCATGTTACGCAAGTTGTAAGAAATCGTGTATTTTCGTTCACTCAATATTCTTCATTGATTCGGGCGAAGAAATTGACATATGATAAAAAAAGGCGAACTGCGTTTAATCGCAGCGTACTATTGCAATAATAATTGAATGGCGACAGAGATTATGAAGGCGCACGAACAATGGGTGATTCATTGATGAATGAATAATTTTCATTGATAGAAATAAGCCGGCAGAGGCCACAGAGTTACATGTAGCCGTGGTAATTAGTGTGGGAGCCTCCGCGATTCCCACGACACACGGCGTGTAGTGAAATATCGGTTAGGAAACACGTTGGCCGATTAAATATTCGCCTGGCGTGTTCACGCGACTAGAGTTTAACGAGGCTCAGCTCTGCGCGTATGTTGTTGATGCTACCCTCATGTATACATATATATTATATATCAAGGTGTCACACGTATATTTCATCAATAGAGATAACTCGATCGAATTTCGTGCTTAGTTTTGAAACATGGCCTGGAATGGAAAACACGTAGCGAATATAATTCTAAAACTTTAAATCTTATTTTTTCTAAACATGACACAATTATATATAGTAAGAACCATTAAAAATCGCAGGTAGAAGTTTTAAAAAGAAAAAAAATAACAAGATAAAAAAAGACTAAGAAATGAGTTTGAAATAATACTTAGAGAGTTAAAGACATCTCCGAAACACACTTGGTAACACATTATATTTTCGCAGTAATAACAAAAAAAATATTTGGAATATATGTGAAGTCCGCCAATCGGCAATCTGGCCGCGTGGTGGTGCCAGCCCAGCTGCACTCTTCTAGCAATTTCACCTTGTCTCTACCCAACTGCAATGTCTGCCCGAGGTAAACATACTCTTGGACAACTTCGAGCGCTTCGCCGTTGATCGAAATCGGCTCTGGAATTATAAACTCGTTGAACAAGACCTTAGTCTTGTCCAAGATCATCTTTCATCATGAGACCAACCGATGATGAAGCAGCATCCAAGCTTTGCAGTATGATTTTCAAATCCTGCATCGATTCTGCCATTAAAATGATGTCGTCTGCAAAGCTAAGGTGGCTGAGATATTAGCCATTGATGTTGATGCCCAATCCATTCCAGTACAAGGTTTTGAAAACATCCTCCAGTGCGTTGAAGAACAGTTTCGGAGAGATGACATCTATCTGTCTCACTCATCTGAGCAGCTGGATGGGTTTAGTCTTTTGGTTTTGTACTTGCGACGGACATCGTCACCGTACTGCAGCACCTCCACGTACCTTTAGTCGACTTGGCATCGCTGCAAGGATTCTAGAACAGCCCAGATTTCTATGGAGTCGGAGGCTTTTTCGTAGTCCACAAATGCTAGACACAGCGGCTGATTATACTATTGTGACTTCTGTATAACCTGTCTCACTGTGTGAATGTGGTCCACGGTGCTAGTCTTTTCGAAACCCAGCCTGCCCCCGTGGCTTAAAGGCGTCAAATCTTGCGGCGAGACGGTTTGTGAAGACTCTCGAAAACAGCTTGTAGATGTGGCTTAGGAGCGCGATTGGTCTATAGTTCTTCAAGAGGGTATAATTACCTTTCTTAAAGAACAAAGCCACCACGCTCTCACTCCACACCTTCGGGGTAGTCCCATTGGCTATGACGGAATAAAAAACCTCCTTTAGCTTTCTCAGCAATGGGGTTCCACCTGCTTTGAGAAGCTCGGAAGTGATTCCATCTTCACCGGGAGCCTTCCCATTTTTAAGCTATTTGGGAGCCCTCTCAATTTCGTCTTGTTCGACGTCTGGGAGATCGTCTATAAAGTGGCGTCTTTAATTTTGGCGAGTATCTCTGGAATCAATGTGATGGTTTTGTCTTCCAAGGTTTTGAGCTTTGTCAGCTGACTCCTACCCAGTCTTTTAGCAAAGACTTTTGACCCCCGATTTCGGATTATTATCTTAATATTTTTTTGAACTAAAAAACAAGATAACGATGCTAAAGCAAAGTGTACACATTACTAATTATTCTTGCAATTGAACAAGACTTGTAAGAAAAGCCTTAATTTGTTGTTCGTTTATTTGAACAAGTCCGCGAACTATAGTTTATAACAAAACGTGCAACGTCGCGATTAAATTGAGCCAAAAATGTTTTCGCAGAGCGAATTCAGGATTGATTCGAAATATTTATAACGTCTCTTTGAAGTCGTGCTTCGGACAGATCTACGTTTCAGAGATTTACTTTTTTTCGTCCCTCAGCAAATGACATGTCAATAAGAAAGTGGCACCAAATGAGCGAAATTATTTATGGATTTAATGGAAAGATAAAAATGGTAGACTAGGCCTAATTTTCATTTATACGTTGAGCAACAGCGATGATTTTATATTGGGTCTATTCTCATAGTGAGCGCTAAATTATAGAGCGGTTACTTGACAACTCGGCTCATATCTTTAAGTAGTATTTACTTTGTTTCAAACACCAACGTGCCCCTTTAGGATTTGGCTACCCATTTCACATCAGATCACGTCAGAACACTTCAAAGTAACGATAGACGGCGTCTGACCTACGGTGTCATATTGCAAAGAACTAGATTCGATACTTGTCGAGATGACGCTCCACGCGCTGAGATGGACTCAAAGGAAATACTCCCGAACTGTGTTTGAGCGAAATTTCGAGACAAGTCACCGCATCTTGTACCGTTGCATATAATGCATATTTAGTTCTAATGGATAAATATATAAAACGAATAAAATAATTATGATTATTATACTAAAAGGCCGGCAACGCATTTGTAAGCCCTCTGGTGTTGCAGATGTCCATGGGCGGCGGCGATCACTTACCATCAATTGAGCCTCCTGCTCGTTTGCCGCTTTTTTCCCATAAAAATAGATTACTCTTAAACTATATAAAGGAAACCATTGGTTACTTTTAGAAAGCTTTCCATTCGGTGCAGAGGACTGCGAAACATAAAAGAATTAAAAAAAAATCCTTTGACGTTTCTCGAATATTGTGATCAGGAGAGATCGGGCTTGCATAATTAGAGAGCACATCGACAGGCGGGAAAACAGGAAAGACCGCGGTCGGAACGCATCGGTTAGGAGAACGAGGTGGGCATCGGTTTCGCGCGCTGTGCCCGTTGTTTACGCGCCACAGCGTGGCGAGCGGGGTCGATGACCGCATGCCGCACCACGCCGCCATATTTTCGGTAATAAATAATGGAGCGGCGCAACGCGGCGCGATCGATCGGCGGCCATTGCGGCGGCGCGGCGGGGCCCAAACATTGCGCCCCCACCCCGGCGGAAGCGTGCTGCGAACGTGCGGCCCACGCCGCGGCATTGCTTCGATGCAGCCCACCGCGCCGTGTACCGCACGGCCAAATCACACGGGCAGGTGTGATTTGACCCCCGCATGCCCCGCAACCGCTAAGCTGTTAGCTTTACAACGCTAGGACGAGGATGGAGTTCATTCCGGGACTTCCATGCCATACGGACGTTAGTTCCGAAACACCCACTCAGGGTGTTTTATGCATGCCATGAGATATGCGTGCATATAAAATGTTCTTACCACACATGATAATTAGAATTTCAACGAATATTCGGCTATTATTATATCTATTCGGCGACTTTGCTCATATTTACTATTTGGTCAAATAACGAATTCTTATTACATAAGGTTATTTTTGTTGTACACAATTAATTTGCAAAATGCAAATATTAGTTTATTTTATAGTGATATATTTTTTCTTGTAGTCATTAAAATATCATCTTCAATTATCGTAACTATAATTTAGGACTGCAATTCCTCAGTGAATATCTTCCTCATTTTTAGCCAATTGTTTAGTTTTAGTCATTTTTTTTCCACGTGACACGTATGTTCATTCATGGAGGTGTTTTTTGAAGCCATAATAGATTATTACCACCTTACTCTACTTTTTTTTATTACTTCTTTATTAAGTGAGCCATACACATAACTTTTTGCCAAATTGTGAAAC